CAATGAACCAGTACTGGGATACAAGAGAAAATAAAACAGGACCAAGCCCTGACTTGAAGCACTTGCTGCAGAAGGTCAAGGAGGACAAGCCTTAAATATGGATTGAGCTCAACATCAAGAAAACAAAGATTCTCAGTACTGGTGCCGATTGACAGCATCATGATAGATGGTGAAGAGATTAAAATTGTTAACAGCTTCAGTTTGCTCGGCTCCACAATCAACGCTCTTGGTACCAGCAATCAGGAAATCAAAGACAAACTGCACTGGGAAAGTCTGTTGTCAGGGACCTCTCCAAAGTATTAAAGAGCAACAATGTCAGTCTGGAGACTAAGGTACGCCTGATACAGGCCATGGTCTTTGCTATTACGTGCTATGCATCAGAAAGTTGGACAATGATTAGTGAGGACAGAAGAATTAATGTCTTTGGTCTGTGGTGTTGGAGAAGAGTATTGAATATACCATGGACTGCTAAGGGAACAAACAGGTCCGTCCTAGAGAGGGTGAAACCGGGCTGCTCCTTGGAGGCAAGGATTCTAAAGTTCTGTCTGACATACTTTGGGCATGTTGCAAGGAGGAACCAGTCCTTGGAGGACATCATGCTTGGGAGGGTGGAGAGACAGCACTAGAGAAGAAGACCCTCGAGATGGATTGACTCAGGGACTGGGAAAATGGGGATAGGTGTGTCAGATACAATAAGGCTGGCTAAAACAAACAAACAAACAAACAAACAAAACCAATAAGGTTGCCTCAGGATAGAGCAGGGATCAGAGCTGCCAACTGACTGGAAGAGATCTGTATTTGTTCCTATCCCAAAGAAAGGTGACCCAACAGAGTGTGGAAACTACAGAACAATCTCACTGATTTCACATGCAAGCAAGATTTTACTGAAGATTACATCAGCAGAGAACTACCAGAAGTCCAGGCTGGGTATAGAAGTGGTGTGGTACTAGGGATATTGTAGCTGATGTTAGATGGATCTTAGGTGAGAGCAGGAAATACCAGAGGAATGTCTATCTGTGTTTCATTGATTATGCAAAGGCGTTTGACTGTGTGGATCATAACAAACTATGGCTGACTCTGAGAAGAATGGGAATCCCAGAACACTTGATCGTTCTAATGAGAAACCTATACTTGGACCAGGAGGCAGTTGTCAGAGCAGAGCAAGGGAACACTGCATGGTTCAAAATTGGAAATGGCATATGCCAAGGATGCATCCTATCTCCATACCTTTTCAACCTATATGCAGAACAGATTATCCGGGAGGCTGGGCTCTATGAGGAGAAGTGTGGCGTCAGGATTGGTGGACGATTTATCAACAATCTGCGTTATGCGGATGACACAACCCTGCTTGCTGAAAATGAAGAGGACCTGAAGCACCTGCTGCAGAGGGTCAAGGACTGCAGCTTCCAATATGGATTGAGGCTCAATGTCAAGAAGACAAAGATTCTCACCACTGGACCAATTGGCAGCATCAGGATGGACGGTGAAGAGACTGAGATTGTATACAGCTTTAGTTTGCTTGGCTCCGCAGTCAACAGTCTTGGCACCAGCAGCCAGGAAATTAAAAGGCGCATTGCCATGGGAAAGTCTGCTGTTAGGGACTTCTCCAAAGTACTGAAGAGAAATGGTGTCTCTCTGGAGACAAAGGTGCATCTGATACCGGCCATGGTCTTCGCAATCACTTGTTATGCATCAGAGAGTTGGACAATGACCAAGCAGGACAGAAGAAGAATTGATGCCTTTGAGCTGTGGTGCTGGAGAAGAGTATTGAGAATACCATGGACTGCTAGGAAAACAAACAGATTTGTCCTGGAAAGGGTTAAACCGGGTGGCTCCTTGGAGGCAAGGATTCTGAGGCTCCGTCTAACATACTTTGGACATGCTGTGAGGAGAGACCGGTCCTTGGAGAGGGACATCATGCTTGGGAGGGTGGAGGGACAGCGCAGGAGGGGAAGGCCCTCTATGAGGTGGATTGATTCAGTGACTGGGATAATTGGGATGGGAGTTTCAGAGACAGTGCAGTTGGCACAGGACAGAGCAGAGTTTAGGGCTGTTGTACATAGGGTCGCTATGAGTCGCAAGCGACTCGATGGCACATAACAACAACACAACAACCTGAGTCACAGGCGACTTGACAGCACGTAACAACAAGTTGGGAAAGACATGTTACAAAATTAATTAAAAGGTAATCTGAGAAAGTGGGAAGCACTATGAAGAAAATAAAACAGAGTTGAGGATTATTGCTTCTCTAGACAGTGTATCACGGTGGGCCTCTCTGAGGAGCTGAGACCCGGATGAAGAGGAGCCAAGAAGATTCAAGAGCTCAGCAGCCTAGGATATGGGGAGGGATGGAGAAGCCAGGCCTACTGGGGCAGTGAATGAGCTCCGAGAACAGAAGGGAGGGGAGAAACAGACAGCTGCTGTAAGAAGTCTAGATTGTAGTATCAGTTTGTTGAAAAGTCCCCAGTGAGCAAAGTGGAAGTTGGAAACAAAATCATGGCTGGAAGGAAATTTAAAGACAAGTCCCATTTTACTGAAGGGGAAATCAAGGCTCAGAGACAGGAGGAAGTTATCAGGTTCACCAGGGGTTGGTGCTGGACCTGATTCATAGACACTCAGACCAGGACACCAGCCCCAGCTACCTCTTCCTTCTGCTTTTGCTTTAGGGGCCTATGGTTCCACATGGGCAAGACCATCAGTGCCCCCCTCACACCTTCTTGTCTGTCAGATTCTTCTCACTTCCCAGGTTATCTGATTCTATCTCTAGGTCCCTCATCTTCTTTCTCCTGCTTTCATCTTAATGATGGATGGATGAAGTTTCAAGGCTCTGCCAAATAAGCCCATTCGTCAAGGAGCGGGATCTCAGCTCCCTCTCCAGCCACCCACCCCCACCCATTCCAGAGAGGATGTAGAGCCAGGGGGCCTGATGCCCGGTCTCCTTCAGGTCCTGCTCTCAGCTGTCCCTTCACTAATCACAAAGGCTTCACCATCAGTCAGAGTCTCCTTAGCTTCCCTCCCTGCAAATGCTCCGCCCCTACATTTCCACACAGGCCCTCTTTCAGATCTGGAGTGACCTCATGAGCTTCTTCATCTGTAAAATGAAGATCCTGAATTCAGGGCTGGGGTCCTTTTCAACTCTGCTATTCTGAGGTTCTTTCTGCTTATAATCAGGCTCCATACCCCTCTCCAGCCCTCCCAAGGAGGTTATAGAGCTAACAGCTTCCCCTTTGACTTCCTACAGATTCCTTAGGTCTAACCGCAAGCCTGGCTGAATCTCTGTCAAACCCAAGAAGACAAGGTCTCCTCTTAGAGATGTAACTCAAGTCTCCACCTTCTCCTCTCTTCCTGGCCTTCCCAAATGTCTGCTTATCTCAACTTGACTGAAGGAGTACCCCTCCGCCAAGCCTAAGTCTGGCCAATATCTCTCAGCCCCTCCTGGTTATCCCTAAATTCCTCCTTTCCATCCTCTTCTACAGATCACCCAAACCCAGAAAGGAGTTCAATTCACTCCCTCATCAACCCAGCCATACTCCAAGCTCAGAAGATCATGTGAGGTCAGGCCTACAAAGAACTTAAAAAATTTAACTCCAACACAGTTGATAGCTCTGAAATGATCAGATACTTAAACCCATTATACTAAATCTAAAAAGAAGAGCAACCACAAGAGAGAAAAAAAAATCTTCCATAATGCCACCACCAGGAGCCAAAGATTTTGCCAACAGCCACACTTTATAAGAAGTGAGGGAACAGAGTTCAGAGAAGGAAAGCAATTTGCCCAAAGTCACACGGTAAGTGAAGTGGTAAAACTGGAAGCCAAATCTCTGGCCACCCCCTGTGTGATCTCCCAGCAAACCAGCAGTTCTGAGCACTGCTGCTTACTGGCTTCCACTACACTCTGGCCACGAGGCCACCATCACTGCCTGTCCCCGCATCCACCTCCCTTCCCAATACCCCAGAGACTAGGAACCAGGCTTGTCCCAGTTACATACTGGGACCGTTCAAATTAAGAACGTTTCCACTGACTCATTCCACCACTTAAGCAGCAGCCCAACCACAGCATCCTCGTTGCCAATCTCTCCCCCATCCCATCTGAGGGACACCTATGCCAATAAAGCACAGATCTCTTCCAAATCCTCTCTGTCAAGAGGTTTGCCTGCAAATTATCATCTTCCCAACTCGAGAGAAAGTCTAGGTAGGTGCATGAGGAGAGAATGAGAAATTACGGATTAAAAAAATCATCCTCCCTTTTATAACAAGAGGGATTCGAGGAAGAGCTCAGAAAGGACTTCCAGGCGGGAAGGCAGGTGTTGGAGAACTGGTGTGAAGAGGAGTGTGCAGGATGGCAGCCCCCTCCCCACGTCTAGAATCTGAGCCCACCATGAAGGCAAAGCAGGAATAATAGGAGGACCTTCAAGGCTGAACAGGGGAACAGCTGCTCCCTCATGGGCACAATCTCTTTCTTGGTACCAACCAGGGAGAAGGCAAGTTAGGTAGGCTGTTTTGCGCACAAGATATGTAGGAGGTCCTATGAACCTGGCTGTCCCACTGAGGCCCTAAATCCCAGCCAGAAGGAGTCTGGGTCAGTTTGGAATGAGCGCAGGGACTAGAGAAGGGAAGTTATAGCTTAGGCTGGAGCCTCAGCCAGGTTCCCCATCTGCCCATCCTCGCTTGCAGTGGCCGAGAGTCCCCATGACTCCTGCTGTCCTCTTTGGGGCTGGAGTCCACTGCCTCATGAAACTTCCTCTGTTGGGGGTCTCTCCAAGTCTCCTTCCAGGACAGGAATCGGTGCCTGTGAAGCTTCAGTCTTCACTCATGCATCCTAGGTGTTTGGGTCAGTGTGTCCCTTCTCATCCGCATCTCATTCCAGGGACCTCCTGGCCCCCTTGTGCGGGAGTGATACCCCCACTCAGATGTCGCTCTGAGGTGGCCCAGAGCTCCCGCCCACACCTGCGGGCTCTCGCCCTGCACCCTGGTCCCCAGCCCACTCCAGACTGTCCTACCTGCTCCGGGCTGGGGGCTGAGCGCCCGGGCCGCCTCTCTGAGCACCAGCACCAGGAGCCACAGTTCGCCCCGCATGGTGGTGCCAGGATCCGCCTCGGACCCGGGCCCGCCCCCGGCCCTGGCTTGGAAAGGGGTCCGGGCGCCGCGGCGC